AAGAGAGTTAGAAAGAGTCCACAATATTACCTACTTGGGTGCAAACGTTAACGATAACTGGGATATAAATAAAGAAATAAAAATACGCATTGAAAAAGCCAGAGCCGCCTTCTATAAATTAAAGAAAATTCTAATTAATACAGATATTACGATAAACCTTAAAATCAGATTAATACGCTGCTACATATTCTCCACATTGCTGTATGGTATGGAGAGCTGGACCCTTACAGAGACATTAATGAAAAAATTAGAGGCCTTTGAGATATGGATTTATCGACGAGTATTGCGGATAAGTTGGGTTGATCGAATAAGAAATGAAATAGTTTTACATCGAATGAAAAAGAGCACAGAAATAACAAAATCGATAAAAATTTGGAAGTTACAATATTTCGCTCATGTAATGAGAGATCCAGAGAGGTATAACCTTCTACACCTTATAATACAGGGTAAGATCGACGGAATAAGAGGCCCAGGCCGACGAAGAACATCCTGGCTACGAAATCTCCGAGAATGATATCAAGAAACTACCGCTAATTTATTTAGAGCCGCCGTGAATAAGGTTATTATTGCCAATATGATCGCCAACGTTCGATAATCGGACAGGGCACTGAAAGAAGAAGAAGAAGTGGATCCATTCACTAGTAGGTGGCATAATCTTCTGACATGCTTTTCGCCAACACCATATAAAGTTAAGAAAGCTTTTTTACATATAGTTGGCTGTATACCATATATTAAAAAATTTATTAAAAATCCTTTGTAAAAGGTATATATTAAGAACCTAAACGGGCTAAGTTAAACAGACAAAACGTTTTCGAAATCCATATTCCATCATCAGTGTCTAGGAGTACATGTCTAGGAGTCTGTACTCCTAGACACTGATGATGGAATATGGATTCCGAAAACGTTTTGTCTGTTTAACTTAGCCAGTTTGGGTTCTTAATATATACCTTTTACAAAGGATTTTTAATTTTAATAAACTTTCTTACATACTTGCTTGCGTACTCCTTTTAAACAAACATGAAACAAAAACTTATTGGGTCTCTTAATACGTTTAATGGCATTCTGAGATTTTCTCATACTCTTAATGGGAGTTACTTCGATCATATTTTGTAAATATGAGTCTTGTGAGTTTCTGTCATCAAAGTCATGTAACGACGTAAACAACGCATTTTTCTCCATTTCCGAAAAATGTTCACAATACTTCTTGCGACAAGTACAGTCGATTCCAGTTTTTCGAGCCATAACTTGTTTTCCCACGTGATTAATATGGGTTTATTTCGAAATTATGGCGCACAGTTTACTTCGAAAACGCCATATCTCCAGAGAAATGGCCTTTTCGAAATAAACAAAGAAATACGCCTGTCAAGATTAATAGTAACGAACAGCGGAGATGTGGTGTTTTCGCGTGTAATAAAGTTTAAAGGATATTCTGAACAAAATGGCGAAGTTAACTCATTTTGTGAAATTAATGGAGATGTGACCTTTTCGAAATAAGCGATTTAATTGTGTGTGAAATTATCTGAGCTGAACAATATCAGCTGGAAGGGTTTTGACTATCTTTTTATGGAATTCCGAAGGGAATATTTAAATTCTATACTTATCAGAATAGTCGAACAATTTATCAGGAATACTGTGCAGAAAAAAAGCGAAATAAAAAAGGCCTGATTTACGAAAAAAAAAAAAAAAAATTCTCTTTCATAACCTTAATGTAACGTACAGCTGGTTTCAAATGCAGTAGCGAGCTGCAATTTGAGTGACAATTTCATTGCAATATTAAACAAATTTTATACGAAGAATATTTTATATTTGAAACAGCAATACCTATATTGTATAGCTTACTTAAACAAGAAATGAAATTTGCTTTAACAAGGATTGTTTTACCTTTAAAACCGTAATTATATAGTTACTAGGGACATACAAAGAACTGGTAATTATTTTCAAAAATTCCTAACCGCTGGATTTGAAACCAATTTGTAATTCAATCTGTTCCTAATTCAATTGAGGGCCTACATTAAACAGCGCATTAGAAATATAATTCACCAGTTTGTCTGGAGACTGAAGGTTGTCGTATATCATTGAAGATTTTGAATAAAGAGTGAAAGAGGCATACGAGTGGACTGGAAGTATGAGTTTTGTTTACACGGTTATAAAATATTTGGTATAAAAATATTTAGACAATATTAAACACTACAGTGAACTGAAGGAAGTAGGTTTGTTATCATACATGGTGGTGGGCAAATGGGAATGCCCTTTTGGTTGTTACATTAGGTGCCAAGTCAGGAGATCATTATGATAATATGAATGCAGAAAATTACCAAAAATGGTTAAGAGAACAGTTAGTCCTCAAACGATATAAAAACAGAATAATGAAATGAAATCATCAACCGACATAAACAAAATTATATGCAAGATCAACAAATCCAGATGTATTTAATCAAATAAAGTTTTAGGTCAAATGAAAACGTGAGAGTGGACCTAAACAGATATTTTGGAGATCTGTTCATATTTCGTGGACATACGATTGGATTGGTCATACGTGGATAAATGAAGAGGTTTCCAAAATATCTCTTTATCTAATTTCCGGTTGTGGGAGAGAATTCTTTAAATTTTTTTAAATCCTAAGTGGATTTACAATAAAAAATACATATTTTATAAATAAAAAACTCATATGAGAATTCTTGACGATGATTGGTCAAAATATTTGGCAGGGCTTAGGGCAGATTTTTAATTACTAAGATATTAAAAATGTACATAGTTGTCTTCATTATTAATTATTTTTAGAGCATTTTACAATTGGTGGCGAATGAGAACACATAAGTCTAATACGAAAGATTTGACTAGACAACATACCAGATGGGAGGAAGATTATCATTTACAAGATCCAGGAAGACTGGCTCTGTTTGATGAGTATTTAGAAATGAGTAAGAAATTTATTCTGTATAGTTAATTACAAAACTGTTACACTATTTCTGTTTAAAATTCTCACAAAAATTATTTATCTATTCATACGATTATTTAAATCTACATGGCTTGAGTATCATCATCATGAGCCCTTTGAGTTCACTGCTGAACAAAGGCCTGCCATAAATAATTCCACTGCATCCAGTCTCAAGCACCCTGATTCCAGTTGTGCTGAAGGCGCTTGATGTTGTCTGACCACCTTGTTGAAGGACTTCCCCGATTACGATAAGCACCGTGTCTAAGTCTCCATTCTAAAAATTTCTTGGTTCACCTTCTATCTCTGATTCTGGCAACATATCCTGCCCAACATATCCTGTCCGTAACCCAAGGTTTTCTCTTATTTGATTTATAACTCTGTATCTAAGGGACACATTTAACATTGACCCCTCCATTGTTCTCCGTGCTACTTGTATCTTTTTAATTACTTTTCTGGTAAGGGTAAATGTTTCTGCTCCATTCGTTAAAGCTGGGAGTACACATTAATCAAAGACCTTCCTTTTCAAGCACATGGAAATATCTGATCTAAAAACTTTCCCCAGTTATCTGCAAGCTGCCCATGTTAATCATATTCTGCTGTTAAACTCGGTTGTTTGATTCTCTATTCCTAATTTAATTTTGTGTCGCAGATACTAATAGGTATAAACTTAGGTGTACAGGAGCTCTGATGGTCTTATCTTCTTGCCTAATACCTTTATCCATATGTGGTCAATACTATGTACACTCTGTAAGAGCTCTTAACCTGGACCTATGCTGGACTGACTACATGAGTATACTCAGCCACTAATTTCAGAGAAGTATACTGACCCTTTTTATTGTGAATCGTTTAAACCGTACATATACAATATACAGGAAAGGCCAAAATCTGCTCACGTCAGACAGTAGCCTCTTTTTCCTACATCAAATAACTAAAAACAAAATATCTTTTGGAAGAAGACACAAGCATTCATAGTGTCTTACAAGTATTTACTTTTACCTCGTGAACGACTTAGAAAGTTAGAAAGAAATCTAGGCGCGCGAGTACCACTCGTTACGTTTGAATTGTAAGTGGTTCCTTGCGAACTTAGTGGAAGCTGTAAGATCGAGTTGTAGAGTTGCGGCATATATCTAGGAAAGTGTTACCCATAAACCCAGCAGATAAGTTAAGATTTTAAAGCAGCAGTTTCGCTGATACCTTACGTATATGGCTAATTACCTTGATATCAGTGAACAAGTAACTCTAGAACTTGAGATTGTCTAGTAATTTCATACACGTCTGTCAAATAGCCAACAAGGCTAGGCGGCTGACTCGCATTGGCCTCCCTATCGAATGATTTAGCGACGTTGGTTCGAGTCCTGGTCCAGGACAAACATACGAAAAGGCTAACGTAGTACCTAGTTTAAAGTTTAGTACTACGTAGTGTAGTTTAAAATTATAAATGGATCTGCTACTTAAGACTAGAATATCCTGGTGTCTGATCGACTTATGGAGGAGTAGTATGGTAGGAGATTAGGGGTTGAGGCTTGACGATACTCCTCCATAGATTCCTACCGGATGAGCGTATATTCGTGAATGTACTCGTAAATGTATATATGTTTAAAGCTATTATTTTTCTGAACTGTTAGATGGATTTCGATGGTTTTTATTTCTCATTAAACATAGGTCTATTTCTCAAGAAGTATACTATTTTTTTCCGAGTTTTTTCGTTTTATTTTGTAACAACCTATGGCATTTATTAGAAACAAACGCTTCTTATTAACAGTGCAAGATAGCTGTGTTGAAAAGACTGAATATTGAACCAGAAATGATCTTTACTATAAAAAAGACAATAGTTGTGTTCCTTTTCTCCTGTGCGCTTCTTCCTGTCTCCTGTGCGCCACAGCACAGGAGGCGCTGATTGAAAGAAGAATAACTTCTAAAACTGAATAAATTTTTTATGGCACATATGATTGTCTTCTTAAGTTAGATCAATTTAGAAAGAATTAAGATAATATACTTTCATATTATAATTATGGACTGTACCGCAAGGTAAGAAAATATAATACATCTTTTATTTTTTTAGTTCTCCAATATGGATTCGTCACTCTATTTGTAGCTGCATTTCCTTTAGCTCCGTTATGTGCCTTGTTAAACAATATAGCTGAAATAAGATTAGATGCTTATAAAATGGTGACTCAAGCCCGAAGACCGTTAGCAGAAAGAGTTGAAGACATTGGTGCTTGGTATGGTATACTGAGAGCAATAACATACGCAGCTGTTGTTTCCAATGTGAGTATGTTTTTAAACTACATCGTTTACTTCGTGTAGTACTTAAAATTTTTCGCTTTTCGTTCTGTCTCATTGTATAGTTTTTCCAATTATAGTAATTTTTTAAAAATATAGCAAATCAAAACGGATAATTTATTTCAAAGTAATATTAACGTTTGTTAATTTTGAAAAAATACGTAAATGGTTTTATTTAAACAAATTAAACTATTTGTCTGATCAAGTTTAAATCTTTTTGAAATAAAACATTAGATATTACTGCTGTATCCTCTACGAGCTGAACCTAGAATAATTTACGTCGCGTTAGATGTTTGACCTTTCATCATTATTAACGAAGTAATGTGTTAAATTTTTAGGGATTTGTGATAGCGTATACTAGCGATTTCATTCCAAGAATGGTGTATAAGGTGAAATACTCACCGACATTTACTCTGACTGGATATATAGATGCTTCATTATCAGGTTAGTAAATATATCTATCATGTTATTATACAGTGCTAACCAAAAGTCCTGTCCCACTCGTATCTTTAATGGTTATGCTTACAATAGTGAAATTTTGAGGGAGGAAATTAATGGGACGTAGGCTTCTCAATTAGTCATAACAGGTGACGTAATAGTTATAGATGACCGTGGGACTTGATCTCGTTGACAAGTGATGTCTTGTTTGAAAGGTATTGAAAATACCTATTTAATCATACTAATTTTGTTAAGGTTTAAGCTGATTTTAATAAATAAATTAAATAAATACTAAAATTGTAGTTTCGCATTTAATTAATAAAGATTTAAGAAAATTTTTTTCAAATATACTATATTTATCTATCTATCTCTTGCTAAATCAGTCAACTGTTCAATATTTTTTCAAAATAAATAATATTAACATACGAATGTGCATTTTGAATACTAAGACAACTGGAAATGGGAAAGATAGACGCCATTAAAATATTTCGTTGGAAAAGAATTCCATGGACTGATCATAGAACAAATAATTCAATTCGGACCATGAGATGGTTTTGAGCAGCTTTTACAATAACATATAGGATAAAATGGATTTTCTGCATAGCTAGAATAAAATTTCATTCTTATTTCGTTTTAAGTATAGATTATCGCATCTAATATTGAATTAGTCTGCACACAACCGTAGTGTCGTAATAGAAAATTGCAGATCAGCAGTATGACGATGTAGAGTACTACGTGTGTGTTGCTCGGCTAAGTGTTGTTTTATCTGTTCTCAAGGTTAGTTAGGTCCGGACAGTCACGTAGTCACTGTTCAGTAAACTCAGCAGCTGGAAGTATGGCTTGCGTTGAATATAGTTTTCGAACGAATTTAGGATCTTATAGACGAAGTAATTTTTTTCCGACTAGTTTTCCTCTCTAACACAAACCACTGGTTTACACAGCGTGTCATTCCCCTATCGGCCACGTCTCATTCTGTGTATTATTATTTATAGTGTAACCTTGTGCAGGTAGAGGTTTATTCAAACTAATAGTTATTTCTGTTTCAGTTTTTAACACAAGCGACTACAGAGAGGATATGAGAGCTGATATACCAAATCCTCCAGACCTTTGTCAATATAGAGGTAATAATTTGGTAATTAATGAAAAAACAATGATTTATAATAATAATTTATTGCTAGGTTACCGGAATGCACCCAACGAAACTGATCCTTATGGACTAAGTCCTCAATACTGGCACGTGTTCGCAGGCAGACTAGCATTTGTTGTAGTGTTTGAGGTAATTTCGTACTTTTATTATAGAAAATAGTTTCTTTATTATTAGATAAAGTAAATCTGGACTAACTTTCCTTTGTAAATGCAAAACACTCATTATTCGTTCTTATTTTAAGCATGTCGTCTTTGCTTTGGTTGGAATCATGCAGTATGTCATTCCAGATATACCATCAGAGGTAAGTTTTTTTACGCCAAGTATTAAAAACTTCTGGATTTGGATAAACGTGTCATTTTTAATCTAATAAAGATTATTAAGAGTATAAACTCTGTCCATATTTTTTCACATGCAAAAAAACCAGATGTCGTGGAAACATCATTATTATTCATTAACTTTTAAGTAATGTACTTTCTTTAGAAGCCCGCTAAATTGGTCGTACTACATCCAGTTTATTGTACATCTATACATTGTACTGTACTGTTAAGATACAGCCAACAGTCTGCCTCTACCTTCACAATGCTCAATAACAACATAACAGAAATACAGACTAGAACTGTTTTATGTTGCAATCAAAAATGACACTATCCAAATACAGAAGATGTTTGCTTGATTGCATCACTGGTGTCATAGCGTCAGCTTCCAATTGATATCATTATACATGTAACCATAACTAATTTTAGCTAAAAACTCAAATCCAAAGAGAAACTTTGTTAGCCAAAGAAGCCAAATATGAGCACGGTCTGAAGAAGAGCGACTACGATTACGAGGAGCTGATGCAAACTTTCAGGGACAACAATAACACATCGAGGGGTGAAAACCGAGCAGGTAGTATCTGTACTATTATTTTTGTTTATTAAAGATTGGGGATTATCCTCTTTATTGTCCGTAACTCGTCCAATAGATTGTTATCATCATCATCATCAACAACCTGTATGCGTCCTTTGCTGGACGTAGGTCTAACTCAGCTCTTTCCATCTGTCTCTGTCTTGTGCAGCTTGCCATCCAGTTATTGCTAACACGCTTCAAGTCGTCAGTCCATCTAGTTGGTGGACGTCCTCTGCCTAGTATTGCTTTTTGTCTTGGTCTTCACTCGACAATACGTTTTGTCCATCGGTTGTCAGATAATCTGACGACATGTCCTGTCAATTACATTTTAGCGACGCGTTTTTTCGATAGCGTCTGTTGGTTTTGTTCTACGACGTATTTATTTGTTTGGGATTCGGTCTCTCAGGGAGACGAGCAACATCTAGCGCTCTATAGCCATCTGAGTCACACGAATCTTATCCACTACTTTTTTTATGAGTGGTAATGTTTCCGCTCCATAAGTGTGTATAGGTAACACACATTGGTCAAATATTTTTCTTTTTAAGGCATTTTACCAAACGCTGCCAGGCCAATCCTATCCGACGTGGAAGCTCACATGTCTGGTTATCTCTGCCCAACCGAATTTCATGTCCTCAAGTACTTATACGATACAGTCTGCACAATATCCCTTCCATCAACAGCAATATTTCGATTTAGTTTAGATTAGTCATTATTTGCATCTTGTTCATATTAATCTTTAGTCAGACCTCCAAGGAAGGGTGATAAAATTTTCAAACATTAATATTGTATCATCCATACTATCGGCTATAACGATGATGTCATCTGCAACTCTCAAATGACTGAGCTTCTCTCAATTTATGTTAATACCATGTTCGTTTAGATGTTCAGATGTGCCTTCTTACAAGTATGTTCTAAGATAGATTGTTATACCTACATGAAACTGTTAATAACATTTTATTTTTTAGGTATGCGGGGTTCTTGGGCGAGAAGATTAAGTCGATTATCCGATGGATTAGATGCACACGTAGAAGTGACCAGTCGAAAACGAAATTCGGTAGAGAACACAGTTTGGGAAGCGTCTTATTGATATCTACTATTAAGTCCTAGTAAAATAAGTCTTAACTGTTTTTTACTGTATTTATTATATGTTTCGTTTTCAAATGGTGGTTTTTTATTAGATGTATTACAGTATGAAGATGAATAAACGTTTTTCATAACGATGCAGCTCCGCCAGTTATGTTTCAAGTATTTTTTATTTCTAATTCTGTTGAAATTAGATAAATTGCACGATGTGTATTTGTAAATGTAAGTACATCGATATTACTTAAACCACTTATAAAAGCCTTTATTGACCACTGCTATAAAATGGAGATAATGCAAAAGCCATCCTCAACTTTACGAATGGTAACTTATTACCTGGCACTCCCTGTTAGATAACAGAGGAGGCTCTGACGACAGAGTATCAGCAGTAGAACTGTAAAACTTAGAATTGAGGAAATATAATTCTGCTATGCACTCCACTGCGATCCACCACCTATATAAAGTCCCAAGAATCACCTGGGGTTCACACAGAAGACGATTCACAGAACCTATCTTAAAACAAAACATGACAGTAGAAAATAAATGAAATGACAAGCCGTACAACGGGTGATTCAACTGGCACTTGAGGTTCTACGGGCCTGACAGTGAGCAATTTGCTATCAACCATGTGGATGTAGGCAACCCCTGGAAACTTGGCTGCTGGAAGAGTAAAACCGGCACTAAAGTTAAAATTCTGGCACCAAACTTGGAATGTAAAGAGATTCTAAGAAACAACTATGGAATTCAAACGCATAGTCACTGAAAATTGTAAGGAAATTCAAATAAACACAGATGACGCACAAAACTTGATCTGGACAAAAACCAGAGACAAACTCATCAAGACGAACAAAAACAAAACCTGCACTAGCAAGGAAAAGGAAAACGAGTATATAAGACCAGATATGGGACGAATACAAGTAAGAAACGAGGTAGAGAGAGGCGAGGAGCTTGGACAGTGAAACTTCAAGAGCAAAATTTAATAAACTATACATGTAAGTAAAACAACTATGCAGAGATAGGATGTACATTTAAGTACTATGAAGTTAAGTGCTTAAATGAACTATGTCGAAGAAGTGAGTAAAAACACATCAAAATAAAAGTGTAATAAGACGAATCACACGAAACCTCTCACCAAATTATGATACTATAAGGGCAGAAAATGAAGAGACAATAACAAATAAAGCTCAAATATCTCAGATGTAAGTCATACTGCGAATAGATCATGACTGATCATAAAATAACAACCACTACAATTACAGCAGATAATACTGAATTAGAGTGAACAATCATAAGACCAACACTATAAGTGGAAGCATCACTCAAAAGGTAAAGCCTCGGATATAGAAAGGTAACAGCAGAAATGATCCTGGCAACAGTTGAAGTTGGGGCAGATATAATCTACAGGATCTGCCAAAGCATAATATGGTAAACATGTAAATGACAGGTTGACTGGATCAACTCAGTTTATGTACCAATTGACAAAAAAGGATCCAAAGAACTATGCGACAATTACCGCACAATTGCCCTTAAAACTCGCTTGCAAAGTCATGCTGCAGATTACCTTAGAAATACTTCTTCTTCTTAAGGTGCCGTGCATTTCTGCGTAGGCGTCCACCGTACATCGTCTTGTCAGGTGAGATGTTAAATATTCTGGTTTAAATAATTCTGTTTTTAGCAGCATTGCGAAGCCTTTCATAGCTGTGGATTCCTGTCCATTGTTCCACTGTTTTAGAAATACTAAAATACCAAAACAGGCAAGATTTATGTCAAGAAGGGGCACCAGAGAACAAATTTTGAACATACGACAGATTATCAAAAAATACATTGAATTGTAAGCAAACGTGTGTCTCATTGATTACAGTAAAGCATTTGACTGTATCGGATGGGACGACATGTGATAATATCAAGAGAAAAATGGGTGCTCCAAAACATATAGTCGTATTACTGGAGATCCTGTATGTAGAAAACTCCCGCAAAAGTGAGGGTATATGGAAAGCTGACAACACCGTTTAGATTTTGTAAGGCAAGGCTGCTTGATAAGCCCCATCCTGTTTAACACCTATGAAGCAAACATTATGCGCGAATCAATCTTAGAATGAGAAGAGGACATATCCATCGACGGCAGAAGAATCAACAATTTAAGGTACACAGATGATCCAACGCTTTTCGCCGTATCCTTGGGAGGATTGTTGGAGCTGCTTCAGCATGTAGGTTTTAAATCCACCAATAAATCAAAAATAAAAATTATGATCATAGATAATCATATTATCATTATAATTATAGATCATAGTCAGAATCAATAACATCGAAGTGGTGAATCAAATTGGTATATTTGGGTACCCTCATATCCAACTTTCGAGGATTCACCCAAGAAATCAAAAGAAGATCGGCAATGGTTAACGGAATAATGAGAGCTCACCAAAAAATGAAAAAATGACAACATCGCCATCTTCTTCTAGTTCCATGACCGTTATCGATCGTTGGGTACCATATTCCCTATCATGACTTGATATCAGCTCTAAATAATGTAGTTGATTTTTCGAACCATTGTTTTATTTTTTCAGCCATGATGTTCTTTTACCAGGACCATGTTTAACTTGGATCTTTCCCTGAATGAGTAGAAGCAAAAGTTCATATTTTTTAGGGTGTCTCATAATGTGACTAAAGTATTCCAGCTTGCGTCTCTTCATTATACTAATCAGTTTTTAATACTTCTAGTATTTTGTTATATCGGACCTTGTCAAAAGCCTTTTCCAAATCAATTGCACAGATATATACATTTTGATTTATATCTATGCATCTCTGTATCAGTATTTCTGTCGTACCCAAGCCTTTCTGAATTGAGTATTGCTAATTCTGTGATTGTCATTGTAATCTTTGATTGTCCGATAATCAGTGGTAAAAGCAATTATCTTCTGTATTTGTTCTTCTTCTTACGGTGCCTTATCCTTAAGGACGTTGGCCATTACATTTGCCCATTTAATCATATTTGTAGCAGCCCTGAATAGTTCTATGGAGGTCATGTTCGTCCATTGCCGTAGGTTTTTAAGCCAAGAGTTGCGTCTTCTTCCTGGTCCTCTTTTGCTATTGACTTTGCCTTCGATTATAAGTTGGAGCAGTTCATACTTCTGATTTCTTATGATGTGACCAAAATATTGTGTTTTCCGTTAGTTTATTATAAGTATAAGCTCTCTTTCCTTATTCATCCTCCGCAAGACTTCCGCATTTGTCGTATGGCTCATGTAGGATATTCTGAGCATTTTACGGTAACACCAGAGTTCGAATGCTTGGATTCTTTTTGTGTTGCTTCTGTCATTGTCCAGGCTTCAACACCACAGAGCAAGGTGGAGAAAACATAGCACTTAAGTATTCTAGTTCTCAATGAGATGCCCAGCTGGCGGTTGCATAGAACGTTTTGCATTTTGTAAAACATTGTACGTGCCTTTTCCAGGCGTATTCTTCCAGGCGATCTCTAGTGAGTGGTCCCAAGTTTCATCAAGATTACTTCCAAGGTACGTTGTTCTTGTTACTCTTGTATTTGTTATGCGAGCCTAAATACTAGTCATTAAAGAAAGCTAATAAATGTACTGTAGATGCGTTCAAAATGTTTATTTGACGAAGAATGTTGCGAATACCCTGGAACGTAAAAGCCCGGGAAATTACACCGAGAAGATATGTACACCACATTACAAAATAAGTCGGAGCCCCACTAAACCATTGCTTCAGTGCTTCAGAGTTGCAGAGGACAGAGAAAAATAGAGACAGATCAATCCGAAACCTGATTAAGAATTCAAGGTAGCACGATATCCGAACCGGAAGACCGACTAGGAAGAATAAAATGGAGGCATTATCAAATTGACTTAACTCAAAAGTTATCACAATTTGATAATATCCCCTTTTCTGCGTTTGCACACCAGATCAACCAATGCTACCAAGTTTAATCTACCAAATCCACTGCATAGCATATTCTGTTATACAATTTCTCTTGGGTGATGACATAAAATTCTTCTTCCTCTTCTTCTAGTAAACTTAATTACTGGACGTTTGCGGTCACTACATCAAAATGTTCTCTTTTCTGAGCCACCGTTAGTAATTTTTAAACGTTCATGCCCGTCAAAGCTCTGTTATTGCGAAGCCATGACATGAAACCATGTTTCCTTCAATTATGTATTATTCTTAGCTGGTTTTATTTAGGTTATAAAATTAAATGCACATTAATTATGATACATTTATTATTAGAAATCTACCAGTCAAAAAATATTTGGTACAAAGTTATAAAGTATAGAGATATATTTAAGAGATACAAACAAATTTCACATTTTCTGCTGCTTTACTTCTTTGGTGGTACGTTGAGCAGCTCACACAACTTTTCATAGACTCTGGCGAACACTTTCGTATATCCGCTGTTGGTTAAATGAAGATAGTCGTGCATGATGTGATGAGATATCGTTTGGTCGTTGCCAACGATGTTTTCGTCGATGACGACGACGTGGCAGTTTTCGGTTACTTCATCAGCATTGGCTTCGTTGCAGAATTTATCTAGGAGGAAGGTATTGACGTGATCGTTACGTTCTCGGTATGGGTTGGGGTGATGACCACGGGGTAACAGGGTCTACAAAAAAAAAATAAATACAGTAGAAATATAAATGAGTACTTTTTGAAGTTTCATAACATATAAAATTGACAATTCAACTGTTGATCCACAGAGACAGGTTTTCTAATGTTTATAATTAATTAATTGAATTAAAATTTTGTATTTATGTATTTTGCTGTATTTAAGCCATTTACGGTTAAGATTCTGGGATTAAGTAATTCATTTTTGCTGGATTTATGTTTGACATTGTTTTCAATGGTTCAATGGGGTGATAAATATTTAAACCAGTGTTTAATATTGAAGAATACATAAATGTCTATTTTTAATAAAATATCGAACATTGTCTACATTAACCCTTTCGTAACGGGAAACTGATATATCAGCGAAATCGTAACGAATCAGACACCCGGGAGACGTATAAGTCCGCAGAGACAGAGGATGCACTTCGAGACGGAAAATGTATTAATCAGCGCATGGATAACTTAACTGTGATCATTCACGTAACAGAGGACAAGCAAAATATCAATAGTGGGGATTGCAAGCATCGATTCTTACTCGAGGTGTGATTATTAGTTCTTTTAGACGAACTAGTTCAACAGAACTATTTCACAAAAATGAACCAATTCAGTGAACTAGTTTGCGAAAGAACTATTTGTAGGACCTACATCGAAATCCAACCCTAACAGAACTGGTTGCCAGATGTCTCGTCTCAATCATCACACAAGCTCGGCGCCAGCCGCCCGTTTTCTTTCAGTCTTTCACTAGTTCACTTAGTTCACTACCGTACAAGTAGTTCGGAACTATTTCTTTCGATCGTATGTTTAGGTTTAAATGGTTTAAATTATTATATGATTAGTTAGTTTTTATTTGAAAAAAATTATTAAGATTTGTTTTTTATTAACCGTTTTAAATATAAATATGGTTCAAGTATGATTTATTTTTATATTTACGTATATTTAAACTCATAGGTATTTATAATTAGGTTATTTCTAAAAGAACCTTTACAAAAAAAATCAGTAAATTTTCTAGGAACATTAAATAACACATTTTCATTCTCACTTTTACATAAAATTATATTTTATGTAAATGCCTCAGTTATTTTAACCATAACTAAAATTTTTATTTCAAAATTACAATATAGGGATGTGTAGTTCACCATCGAAATAGTTCAAATGAACGATTCTTTCAACTGAACTAATTGAACTAGTTCATTAATTTTCATAGAATTAGTTCACTGTGAACGATTTGCATTATAAATTATGTCTCGACTTCTAAAGAAGAAAATAATGAATGAATGAATTAGAACATATATTTATTATTTTGTGAATGGATGGACTAACTAGTTTTTAAAAAAATGCCGATTAGCCTCAGATAACAGATTCATAATTCTTATGAATGTGACAATACCATAAGGTCTTATCTTAATGTCATAATGGTTTGGATCTTATTCCTATGTATTGGTTTGGATGTTGCCATGCTGTGTTGTTTCTTGTATTGTAATTTTGAAATAAAAATTTTTGTTATGGTTAAAATGATTGAGGCGTTTACATAAAATATAATTTTATGTAAAAGTGAGAATGAAAATGTGTTATTTAATGTTCCTAGAAAATTCACTGATTTTTTTTGTAAAGGTTCTTTTAGAAATAACCTAATTATAAATACCTATTAGTTTAAATATACGTAAATATAAAAATAAATCATACTTGAAACCATATTTATAGTTAAACCGGTTAATAAAAAACAAATCTTACTAATTTTTTGCAAATAAAAACTAACTAATCATATAATAATTTAAACCATTTAAACCTTAACATACGATCGAAGGAAATAGTTCCCAACTACTTGTACGGTAGTGAACTAGTGAAAGACTGACAGAAAGAAAACAATAGTTCCGAACTACTTGTACGGTAGTGAACTAGTGAAAGATGACTGAAAACCGAAGTAAACGGGCGGCCAGCGCCGAGCTTGTGTGATGATTGAGACGAGACATCTGGCAACCAGTTCTGTTAGGGTTGGATTTCGATGTCGGTCCTACACTACAAATAGTTCTTTCGCGAACTAGTTCACTGAACTAGTTCATTTTTGTGAAATAGTTCTGTTGAACTAGTTCGTCTAAATGAACTAATAAGCACACCTCTATTACAATACAAGAAACAACACAGCATGGCAACATCCAAGCCAATACATGGGCATAAGATCCGAACCATTATGACATTAAGATAAGACTTAACGTTATTGTCACATTCATAAGAATTATGAATCTGTTATCTGAGGCTAATCGGCATTTTTTAAACTAGTTAGTCCATCCATTCACAAAATAATAAATATATGTTCTAATTTATTCATTCATTGTTTTCTTCTTTAGAAGTTGAGACATAATTTATAATGCAAATCGTTCGCAGTGAACTAGTTCTATGAAAATTAATGAACTAGTTCAGCTGAAAGAATCGTTCATTAGAACTATTTCGATGGTGAACTACACATCCCTAATTCTTACTAGCTCCGATACGGGTCGATACTTGTTGATTTTGCGTCGGTGAAGTCATAACTTCGTAGCCATACGCATTGTATTTGCACGTTTTTTCACAACAGGTTTCGTAAAAAGGGTTTATCTGAAGAACAATTATTAGAACTTGCTTTTAACAGTGATTCAGACGAAAACTTAGATGCTGAATCAGAGAAGAGCTACGGGTGGGAAAATATTTGCGAACTGACGTTCAGTGATAGTGAGAAAAACCATGACAGTTCAGAAAGTGATACCGAACTCGTTGTTTCTGATATTCCACAACTCAAAAGACGAAAAACAAAACAAAAAGAATCGGATCCTTTCGAGTGGCAAGAAAAAAATATTGCTCCTACAATACATAATTTTTCAAACGATGCCTCTGGATGTTGTATTGAAGCATTGTCGGACGCTCCATCTGTCCTACAAGTGTTTGAAGTTTTTTTTTTACATAAGAGATAATGGAAAAAGTCGTTAAACAAACCAATATATTCGGTGATAATGCCAATTCTGGAATGCCTGGCCCTTCTCACATGAAAAAATTTGTTTCTTGAAGATAGAAATAAAAGAAAAAGATACGATCAAAATACAAGTAAGTAGATGCAATATAAGAGGGAGATAAGTAAAATGGAAGATGGTAAAACAGAGCTTGCTTGTCATTATCTGGTATACAAAATTTAAATAAAAGTAGCAAAAAACATCTAAAGCCTATTTCTACGATAAAAAAATATATAAGACATATAAAAATATGTGAAAGAGCTACGATGATCTATAATTCAAAAAATGGATCACAAATATCGTACACCAAAAGATTACTAAAAACAACAGAAATGAATAGTAATTCATTGAATAGGTGGAAAGGGCCCGTGTAAATATGGGAGGCCGCTTTTTTTTTCTCCTTTTCAGTTCAGTTCGCAGGTTCGTGTTTCAATCACCTGAAATAATTTTATTGAAAAACGATATATCACTCCCTTGTTATTTGCGTTTAATCAAGAAATTGTTACCTTAACAAAAATGATACATTATAAGTACCAACTACAAGAACATCCGTTTTATTTCGAATATTTATTAATATTGTATTAATATTTTCGGAATATGTATTATTCGCTGCAAGGATTTCTAAACGAGAAATAGTACAATAAGAAGAATTATTAAAGCAATATTAGTAAACACTACTACTCAAAATTAACGCATAATTTGAAGCTATTTCTAATAAATTACTGTATTAATGCTTTCTAAAAAATATCAACGTTTTATGCGTATACGGAATGTAATAATAAAGTTGTGTTTTTTTATGGTATTTTGCAACACCCTGTGGAAATTATTAAAAAGAAACTCGAGATTAAAGATTAAAGATTAACGAAAACATTACTTACATAAACTCTATTGACATTGAATGCAAATAAAACCTAAGAAAAAGTACCTAACCTAAATAATCTTTAACAATTTCCTCTCCCACATACAGTTAATAACAAGTATTTCACCACTAGATCCAATTACTTCTTCACAGCGACAAGGCATATTTAAAATCAAGCGGCATATTTGGTCTTGCTCAATTGCATCCCAAACTTCTCTCACCATAATTTCTATGTCGTCAAGAGAGGCAGGTGGTGGTTGTTGGCTCCTGAGTTGGCGATCAATAATATACCACAAATTCTCTATGGGATTTAGATCAGGGCTGCAGGGTGGCCAGTTCATGGTTTGTAGTCCAACCTCGTCCAAATATTTACGGACCGCACTTGCAACATGTGGTCGAGCGTTATCATGCATTAAAAGAAAATTATTTCCTATGTAAGGAGCAAATGGAACTACATGGTTAGACAAAATGTCTGTAATATACCTTTCACTTGTTAAGGAACCTCTTCGTAAAGCAACAAGGTTCTTTCGCGATGAAAGAGGAATTCCTCTCCAAACAATTACAGATCCTCTACTGAATAAAGTAATAGGTAGTATATTGCACTGTGCGTAGCGTTCTCTTGGTCGTCGAATAACTCTCACACGTCGGTCTGAACTAAATGAGCAATACCTCGATTCATCAGTGAACAACACGTGCTCCCAGTCATCAATATTCGAAAATTTCGAAATATTTATAGAAAACAGAAACAGAAAACATTAATATAGTACTTTAAAATAGACCTGAAATGCGAAAAAAAATCATCGAACTCCAATTAAGGATTCAAAAGAAAAATAGCTTAATTATGGTAGAGTTGAGATGGTGTGTTAATTTTGGAGAGTAGAAAATTACGTAATGCTTTGTATATTCTTTTCTTTTTTAATAATTCAGACATCGAGATGATTTTTTTACGAAAATGTAGAGAAATTAAGTGTTACTTTAGTGTAAATGGTTACTAAAGCTACAATTGCCAAGAGGTGCTAAGCTCGCGGTATATCCCGATAGGTAGAAACCGTAACGCTGAGCTTAGGAGAATATGAAATCACAGCCATTTCTTCGGTACTTGACAGTGATCATTGATGCTTGTCTCAACTTCAAGCAGCAGGTGGGGCATGTCAGTGCTAAAGCGACAGTAGTAAGGGTATCCTTATCATGGTTAATGCTAAATATAGATGGCCTAAAATAAAGTAGGAGGGCAATACTGTCATCAGTAGTCATGTCAGTATCAACATATGGAATATCTGTTTGGGCTGATATCCTCGGAACTTAGGAATCACTTAGGAAGGTCGCATCAGTATATCGTTTAATAAACTCAGGAAAAAAACGGCAAAACAGCATGTGTCGAATGCAAATACAGTGATATTCCTCAACAACGAGCAGGTGGACGCATAGTCTTTACCATTACTATCTGACGCAGATGCTCTAAGAGAATAGCTGTTTTCTGGCATATCTTTATCGCTTCAAACATGACGATTCTCCAGAATGCTCGTCCTTTCCCGGAGTCAGTGAACATGCGGAGCTCGTGTTCTTAGTGTGTCCTCATTTTAACTTGCTAAGTAATACTCGAGAACAAAAACAAAGAAAAGATTTGACCAGAGATCTAAGAAGGAGAAATAATTTCATCGAAGACAGCTTGGGACGCAATCAACACATTTGCACTGGAAGTCCTCCATGGTCTTGATCGCATTACAAGAAGCAGAGCTGGAAACAACGACGATTAGGAGATAAACAATTACTTCGACGGCTTAAAGGATGCTAAATGCTCTCCCTGAGAAGCAATGCTTTATGACGGTTCCATGGAGGAAATAGAGACAGGAGAGAATAGAGTCCCGTGCCAAACTGTTACCGGAAAAATTTTTCTACGTCACTACTTAAATACATACAAACAGTTTCCTTATTGTAATTAAAATACATATTGTAAATAAATTAAGATCCTATTAAAAATAATTGCTTACAGGTAAAATTATGGAAACGTTGCCTAGTTGTCTCTTAATTTCCCTAATGATCTCCAAAATCCCTTCGTAGATTTCATGGGGAGTGCAGTCGATATTATTCGTACCGACGAATAGGACGACGGCTTTAATTTTTGAATTAAATTCCAGTTCACCATGTCGAACTCTCCAAAGGACATTTTCGACTCTGAAAAACGCAGAAAACAATTAGAAAATTGCACAATTAAGTTAATATAAATTAATGTGTTTCTAGCTGACAGTTTGAAGGTGAATGGCGTTTACAAATATTTGTAGGTTGTTTCTGCAACTTGTCCATCCGGATTGTTACAGTTAATTCTCTTTGATATTACAATATTGTTGCAGAAATTAGGTAATTTAAGAATTGTTCCAAAGACTCTGCATAAAAAATTTATCTATTTTTCTTTTCCAAAATGAAAAACAAATAATTACTGATCATTTAAAACAATTACCTATAAATAGAGCAAGAATAACAAAAATGAAACAAGATGAACAGTCGTACAGAATAAGCATGTGAATGTTGATATTTATTGATATTTATAAAGTATATTATAGGATAGCTCAAGAGTTTTTCATATGGTCACTTGTAATGTGAGCGTAGCAAGTGAGTGGGGAGTTGGAATAAAGGGCTAAGTAGCATAGAAAAGATAATAATTATTCGAGATAATTATTATATATTCCAAATTAAATAAGGGATAATTAATACACTTAATTATACATTTAAATTATACAAAGTATAACAATTTGACCTAGTTTGATACAAGCACGAATGTTTAAGAATTACGAAATCCGAAGACCTTCATAAAAACTAATACAACGAAGCGACACACCATCGCATGTTACATTCCAACACGTGGAATAGTACAGCAGAATTCACAAAACAAAACTAAGAATGTTCGCAGGACATAAAAACTAGAAAAACTTGGTCAGCCAAGTCAGTAGTAGTAATACGGCGGAAGCGGTCCGTTAGTAGCTGGGCAGCTGTGCCTGCCCGAGGCAGTAATTGCCTCCGGGATCGTCGAATACGCGAGCAGTCGGTATGTCTCCGGGGAGTAGTTAACACGCGACATAGTATCTCGTATCATCGGGTTAGTGGTGAAGTTCGTAACAACGGAGAAGTCCCCTCAAACTGACCGACTCCAGAAGACCGAAGACGTGTCGTTGTTGAAAGTCTAACTAAAACATAAGGTAACAGATTTCTGTATACTACCTGAGTAATTATAATAGTACAACTGTCAATTCTTCACTCTCTTGCTTCTCGTCTCCCGGCGCGCCGAATGACTTATTAACTAATCCTTTCGGCCGATTCAGACAGAGACTAGGAGAGTACAAGATTCTGCTTATACATATCTCCGGCTTCAAAAGTAAGCCCATAACCTCAGCTCTTTACAGGACCTGAGACCTAGGAGTCCTTACCCCTATTCCGAAAATCCCTTATCTTCTCGTAAATCCACGAAGACGAACCAGTCAGTTCGGACCAGTGGGGCCAGTAAGCCTAGCAGCCGCTCGCAGGGTTAGCATCCTTTGAGGGTCTATAAAGTATTTCAGTGGTGACAGCGGAGTGCGCCCTCCTGTATTACACACTGTAACCCGCTGAATACACGTAACAGTTATTGTAAAAGTACAATTATTGGGGCCTGCGTAGCGCAAGCGGTAGTGTGCTTGCCTCGCATGCCGGTGGTCGTGAGTTCGAATCCTACCGCCGGCAAGAACAACTAGGCATTTTTAAAATGTCTATAGGCCCCAGGTCGACTCAGCCTGAATAAAATGAGTACCTTGGGTAAAACCAGGGGTAATAATAGGCGGTTGAAGCGTAGCACTGGCCATGTTACCTTCCTTGTATACCGTAGGCCCTAGATATAGCAAACTACCCTGCTATACTCCCAAAGCCGCGTGCGGTATAAAACGGGAGACTATTATTATTATTATTACAATTATTGTTAGTACAGAGAAACTGATAAATTTAATGCACCAGTAAGGCTGTGGATCTACAAAGAGATTTCCGAATGAATAGAAGGGCACGTGAAGAACTGAATATGTAGAAGAAAAAAGAAATAAATGTTAAATAGAAAAAACAACAAATTACAGATTATAACAACAGAAAAGAGACTAGAAAATTTTACAAGAAAACCAAGCAATACACCCAAGGATACATGACAAGATCAACAGTTTCCAAGAACAAAAATGGGGCAATTATCAGCGAGAAAGAGGAAATAATGAAAAGGTGGAAGGAGCATTTTCAAGAGCTGTTAAATCTAGAAAAATAACGAAACAAATACGAAGAAATAATTCACCACACCGCAGAACAACTAGTTGAGCAACCAACATTGGAAGAAACGATAAACGTCATAAAACATCTAAAAATAACAAAGCACCTGGCACAGATGGAATAACTGCAGAACCGATAAAGAATGGTGGACATGCGCTATGGACGCGTATCCATAAACTAATCGACCGCATATAGACACTAGAAGTCATCCCAGAAGATTGGAAAGTAGGAATCATACTTCTTATGTAAAAAGGGGGGACAAACGACTCTGAAAAAAATTATAGGGGCATAATAGTTTTAAATGTCGTCTACAAGATATTATCAGGAATTATATATACAGCCGCCTGGAATCGTTTTCGGAGGAGATGATTGGTGAATACCAATGTGGCTTCATACCAAAGAGGTCAACTATAGACCGAATACATATGTTAAGAGGTATACATGACAAATGTGTTGAATATAACATACCTATTTACAACCTGTATATCGATTTCAAACAGGCGTTTGATGGAGTAGATCGACAAAAGATGTTAAAGCAACTATCTATGTTAGGGATACCCAATAAGTTGGTTAAACTTATACGAATGACTTTGGAGGGTTCGAAAGCTATGGTGGGAATAGATAGAGATATGACATAGGTATTTGATATTAAAAATGCAGTTAGAGAAGGTAATTCCTTATCAACAACACTTTTTAATCTAACTTTAGAAGCTGTTGTTAGAAAACTGGATATAAACGGCTGTATTAATACAAGATCAATGCAAATATGCGCATATGTGGATGATGTTGCCATAATAAGCCGCAACAAAAGGATATTAAGCAAAAAAGTTATAGAACTGAAATGAGAAACTGCTACGTTTGGTCTATATATAAATGAAAGCAAAACAAAATATATGGAGTGCACAAAATCGAATCAAACATGAGAATCTGAAAGTAGACAACCATACCTACAAATATGCCTCCACTTTTCCCTACCTAGGCTCAATAATAAATGACACCAACATCAGTCAAGAAATACAAGCACGGATTTTTAGCGCTAATAAGTGTTTTTATGCATACAAAGACTTAATGAAAAGTAAGTTACTGAATCGTGAGTCTAAGCTTAGAATCTACAAAACAGTAATTAGACCAGTGGTTACATATGGATGTGAAACGTGGTCCCTCTCAACCACTGATGAAAATCAACTGAGGATATTTGAGCGCAAAATACTAAGGGAGATATTTGGACCAACCCAATGCAGCGATGGTTTGTGGAGAATTAAATGCCAGATAATCGGGCTGTAGACGTAGTCCAGAGATGGAAGACCCAAGGAAACAGAACAAGAGGAAGGCTGCGTAAAAGATATATAGACGACGTAGAAAGATATCTTAAAACCATAAACATCAGGAAATGGCGAAGGAAAATATCCGACAGGGCAGAATGGAACAACATTGTTAAGCAGGCCAAGACTCATAAAGGGTTGTAGCGCCATTAGAAGAAGAAGAGGTAAGGCTGTGAAATTAGTTAATGTTAAGTTAATATCTATTAAATAATACTAAAATATACAAATTCGATTGAACCACATCGATTAACATTGCGCTGAGCTTGCGAGATCCTCTATGATCTCTTCTTTAGGGCTTCCGAGGTCTCAATCTCTAGAGAACCCAGACACTACCACACTGATCACTACTCAATGCATTACTGCTACTGGGAACAGCAGATGTTTCATTTATACCGTAGATAGTGATGAGGATCGCGCAGGATAGGCGCGGGGGTTGGCGCGAATATTTCTGATGGCAGGATTTTGATTGGAGGGTGGACAGGACGATATTTTCTTCATGAGAGGTTTTCATGTCGAAGGTAACCAGATGCCGTCATCTCTTTTATTGAGATAATTTGGCCTTTTCTCAATTTCTATGGCTTCTCGGATAATCCTTGGTTTATAGAAGTGGATGGGGGCTGTGGTTCTGGAGTTTTTAAAATCAATTTTTTGATCTGTATGAAGATGGTGTTGACCTAGAGCTGAAATTTAATCAGAATTGTGAACAAAAATTTAATTTTCATAAATACTATTTTGGATTCTACGATTTGTTTGGCCTACGATGTTATTCATTTGGAATGTTGTCTTTGACTGATCGGATAAAAGATGAAAGTTTTGTTGGGGGTAAATATTGTCTTTATTCCTCGTGATTCAAGAATTTTGTCAATTTTGTCAGTGACAACTTTGACATAAGGAAAAAATCTTTCGTATGATGAGGATCTGAGTCTTTGGGTTGAGATTGAGTCAGAGATTGATGACTGTGGATGGTCCCATTGACGTGATTTTGCGGTAGCCGTTTTGGACGAGGGCTTGTTTTAAACTAGAGAGCTCAGCGGGTCTACTTGCACCATCGAAAAAGGCGTATTAATCTGGAGATAAGAGTATAGGATCGTGATGAGAGTTTGCATACAAGTAATGATTGGTGTGCGTGGGTTTTCGATAAACAGATTGATGAAAACCTTAAGATTAAATTTTCTTTATGATAACGTCGAGAAACGGCAGGGATGATCAGTTTTTATCTTTTTTATTTTTATTTATTTATTAATTTACCCCCCATAACAATATGGGGGTAAAATAAAGGTAATATTCAGCCCCCAATAAAAACTCTTATCTGTTATCCGATCAATCAAAGACAACATTCCAAATGAACTACACGGAGTTTATAAAATTCCTTGTACATACTTATACATCTTATATAGGCCAAACAAATCGTAGAATCTAAAATACGATTTATGAACATTTCATTTCTGTTCGCAATTCCGATTCAATTTCAGCTCTAGGTCAACAACATCTTCATATAGGTCACAGAATTAAATTTGAAAACTCCAGAACCATAGCTCCATCCGCGTCTATAAACCGAGAATTATGTCTATTTTATCATACCAGGTTAATGAAAAAAATAATAAAACAGCAAAATATACATATATTACAAAGAAGACGAAGAACTGTTAGTCCGAATTTATTACTAAAAAAGGCGTACGAATATGAATTAGCACATAACTTACCTGTCACCACCAATTCCAAAATTTAAACAATGTAAAGAGCTTATTTTTTCGGACCACAAAGAAGTGAATTGTAACTGTTGAATAATTGAATCTCCTATGAAGAGTACCTCAGATTCACTTGTTTTTGCTTCTTGAAGGTATCTGTTATGCTGAAACAACAAATTTAGGAATAAGGAAATTGAATACTACTAGTTTTAGTGAAACTGTTTAATAAGCATTAGAGCAGCAAAGTTTATTACCATAATTGCCTTATTAGACAGACAACAGGTAAATTTATGTGACTCAGTAAAATTGGTAGATAATTATAAAGTCAAAAATGAAATCGGCACCGGAAGTAATGGTTGATTAATTAAAAAACAATGAAATATGTTTTTGACAAGAATGAAGGTTTTTCATTTTTACGAGGGATTACAAATTAAGTCAGGTTTATTATCCGCCCTGAAAAATGCTCCAAGTACATCTGCCGATGTAGATATCCAGATACGACGATATTCTACAGTGGTTTTTCATAAATCGGAGAAAAAATACTATAAAACGCGTACACGTAATATCGGTTGCATAACTATATTTACTGAGATACGATTATTTCCTGGGGAAAATATTTTATTGTTTTGTTATCGTAACTCAAAAAGTAAAAAAATTGAGTTACTACAGTCTTCGGTTGAGTTTACCGAAAGTACAAGCTGATTATAGCTTCAAATGTCAAACATGGAACCCAAAATTTCGGTATAGCAGTGTTGGCATATTTTTATAATGTAGATGCTGTATGCTTCAAATATAAAAATATAAAGCTTTAGAAAAGTACAATTTGTCTATATTATGTTCAGCATTCTACAATTTTTGATTTATATAAAACAACAATGAGTAAATATTTGTTTCTTTGGAGATTGATTGCAGTTAATTATTAGAAATTTTTTTAGCAATTACCCTTTGGTTAGAGCAGGGGTGCTCAAACTTGAACTGCTGGCGATCTACCTCAATATTTTTAGACTACTTACGATCGACTCTGAGAGACTGCAAGTGTGTGTGATGCAGGGTTGTCGTACATACACGATACACCCTACCTACCGAGGTAGGGCGTACCGTAGCATATATAGATATTAGCTTTCTGCACAATATAGGTACATTATTTTAGTCAAGGTTTGGGTTAGGTTTAGTTAGGTTCTTCTCTACAATATCAATGAAAAAACTCATAGTTATTCAAAATTGCGAGTTTATTTGTTGTTACAAAACAAAAGAGTTACATATGATGTTAAACTTAACTAAGGAGTGGCTTTGGATGTTGAAGCGTGGCACTGCATGTCCTCAGCATACTTTTCATAAGATGGTACGTAACCACTGAATGCTAATCGCAAGCATGATGTCATATGATCGTCAGTTAGTCGATTGCGATATTTTGACTTAATTATCTTCATTTCAGAAAATGCAGACTCGCACAAGTAAGTTGACCCAAAAAATGCCGCCAGTTGAAGGGCGATTTGCCTTACATTCGGATATTTATCTTCAGATATAAAACGCCAGAAATTTGTATCAGATACTGTAGCTTTGAGATGTATATCTGACATACTCATTTTCAACAGAACATGAGTTCATATTAAACTGACTTGCTATTTCAGTAGCTAATTCCTCAATGTTTTTACATGAAAAAGGATAACTCATAAATGATGCTATATTTTCCAATTTACTGCAATCATAAAAAACGCATTTCGAATTGTCCCAAAATATTTGATAATTCAGCCTCATACGTATCATAATTCAACTGAGGAATCCTTGCTTTCAAAGACGGAAAATGTTTCAGATCCTATCTTTTCAGTTGATCTATCATAAGTTGCAATTTACTTTTGAATGCGTTTACTACGCTAATCATCTCAATAATAGTTTTTCCTTTACCTTGAAGCTCCAAGTTAACGGTGTTTAAGTGCATTGTGATGTCAGTCAAAAATGCCACATCATTTAGCCATTTTTCGTTTTTCAAAATCTGAGTGTCATCACCTCTTTCGTCTAGAAAAGCTGTTATTTCGGGCAATAATTCTTGAAACTTTTCTAGGAATTTTCCGCGACTCAACTGCAACTGAAAGAGCCGCCGTTGCAAGCTACGTGCACAGATGGAATTCACAATTTTTGTTGCAATGCCCATAATTTCCTCCGTGTTTAAAACTTTTGAACACAAAACTTGTTGATGTATACTGCAATGGAATGAAAAAAATGAAAGGAATTCTTCATTAACTCGACACAATGCCACAAAACCGTTTTTGTTTCCAGTCATTGCTGGTGCTCCATCGGTTGTAATGCACATTAATTTATATATTGGTAGCTCGTAGTTTTTTACAAAATTTAAGAAAACGTCATATATATCTTCGCCACGGGTCTTCCCCTTCAGAGGAATGATTGTCAAAAATTCTTCCTTAGCCAACATTTCATTGAATACCATCCGAATAAAAATACACAGCTTGACAGTGTCTGTCATATCGATGGATTCGTCGAACTGTAAAGAAAAGTATGTACATTCCATGATATCATGTTTTAGTTTATCTGCGATGTCTTGACTCATGACTTCAATACGCCTTGTGACAGTCAGACGAGATAACTGAAGTTCCCTAATAGCAGACATGATTTCTGTTTTATTTTTAAAATCTCCAAATAAAGTCTCACCCGCTTCAATAAATGCTTCCTTCACCACCGATCCATCTTCAAATGGTTTCTTGTGTTTCGCCAAAATATGAGATATTTTAAATGACGCGATCGTAGCAGCTTTTGATTGTTTGGCTGGTCTTGTGAACATGGATTGTTATTTTTTCAAACAAGATATCAAATCACTTACTTTTCGTTTTCTTAATTCACTGTGTGGCGGAAAATCCTTTTCATAGTTTTTATGAACCGTTTTATGATGCCTCTCTAAGTTACCACGCTTAGGTATTGCAACTGACGTACGACAAATAACACAAATGTGCTTATCCTTCACCATAGAAAAGAAAAATTCTTCCTCCCAATTCTTATTAAAATGATACGTTTTAGATTTTTTCACTGCACTCATTTTCCACTATTTAATAATAAACTTTGTACCGACGTAGGATCGCTATCAAGTTACAATTCAGAATAACTCCAATTCCTGCAGGCGCAACATTTATATCGCCGTGAACGAAAGTCTCGAATGTGCCCGTCAAACGCGCCGCCCGAAACTAGACTGTACTCGTACTGTCTCTCGTCTAGAAACAACACGGCTTTTCTTTGACAAGTGCCACGCGTTCCTTTGATAAAGCCACCTTTTACCGCAAGCAGTGTTATTTGATTACGTAATACATTTTTGTAGTTGATAGAATATCATCCCAAATTTGATTAATAATTATAATAAATATTGAATTAATAAAATAATTAGTTAATATATGTAAATATAAAATATGCTGTGTGAACAGTATTTTGTTGTCCCACTTCTTTGAATTGCAATGATGCTTAGTCAAGCATTCTATGTTTTTGTATAGTTCAGTATTAATAAAACGTTTAACTTTGCTGACAGTAGTTTAGTTACCTACCTACTTATTAAAATTTTTTTTCTTCTCGACATCTACCCAAAAAGCACTCGCGATCGACCAGTCGATCGCGATCGACCGTTTGAGCACCCCTGGATTAGAGGATAGATTTGGTAATCGTCAAATCAGCAGTTGCCAGATTACAACACACAGATGTTTGCAATTAATCTCGAAAGAGACAAATATCTACTCGTTACTGCTTCATATAAATTAAAAATTGCAGAATTCATAAAATAGTATAATCAAAATGTACTTTTTAAAAGCTTTATCTCTTTATATTTGTAGCATACAATATATGCATTTTAAAAACATGCCAACACTGCCAAGCCGAAATATTTTTGACATTTCTGGCTATATTCAGCTTGTACTTTCGGTAAACTCAACCCACTCTTCGTTAGAGCAGTATATATTACAGAGCAAATAACATACTTATATATTTTATAAATCGTGTTTTCACGTTTCAGTACAAATATTTTCCCTTGTCTTTCATTCATATTATACTTATAATATTCATTTTTATTTTTATAACTAACGACCAGAAAATAATGAAAAATATACAAAAAATAATTCTATCAATACGATGTGTTAAAGATGTTTATCATAAAATTGTTTTTCGCGCTTTGTCTATCACGACCTCTATTGTATTATTTCAAATACCACAAACGATAGTAGCTATTTATTTTTGTTACTATAAATTCAAAATTTTGTATATAACAAAAGCCAAATACTTCGTAATATAAAATTCAACAGCTAATTAATCCGCATGTTTAACAGCACGATGTATGTAACGTTTTTAAAATTCCAATATCCATTAATTACGAACATTTCAACGGTTTATTTTTATTCGAAGCGAGCATATCGTGCAACACGTTTTAGTTTTTTACTCAAATAATTAAATTAACAAAAAACGTTCGTTTGTCATCAATAAATAGGTTCAATTTATGATATTAAATCCAACTTTATTAAAAACGTTTCAACAAATTTGCGAATATTATCATTTTGCCGAATCAATAGTTGCTATAGCGTATGTTTTGAAGTTTATCTATTAGTACATATTATACAATATTATCTATTATCTTTCCAATGATACACTAGGGTTAAACACCCAGTAGTCAGCCGTTTAGTGAGAATCTTAATTTGTTTCAATTGCATATAAAAAAAATAAAGGCGATAAATAAAAACAAATATTTTTATCAGAAACTGTGTTTATTAAATTATCCAAAGAGATTAACTAAATGTTATTATTATGTTATAATTATAAAAAAAACAACACTTAACAAAATATGGCACTTTTCACCTGTAGTCAGCCACATTTCTCCGCTTTTTTCTCATCCATGTCTACCCTGTAGTCAGCCACTTACTTATTCTTGCATGTTGGACATCTTCTTCTTCTTTCAGTGCCTATTCGTTCCGAATATTGGCAATCATTCTGGCTATAATTATTTTATTAACTGCTGCTTTAAATAAATTCGTTGTTGTTGTGGAGAACCATTTCCTCAGGTTCTTCAACCATGATATTCTCCTTCTCCCAATTCCTCGCTTTCCGAATACTTTACCCTGTAGGATTACCTTCAGTAATCTGTATTTAGTGCTGTTTCTCATTATATGTCCGAGATATTCCA